CAGGATATGATGCATGCCTTCATGAATGAGATGAGGGCAGATAGGGCTCGGAACAGGAGGGATGATTCTCCTCCACATACGGCTACGGAGACTCATACCCGTACGCCATCTGTTACACCTCACCAGGAGGGGAGTGGTGCTAGTCGTCAGTCTGGCGAGGTTAGTCACCACACTAATGATCCTACTCATATCCTAGAGCCTTCTGTGGATGCTTTTGTTGTGGCACAGTCTTCTGGGGTTGCTGGGCAGGTATTTGCTAGTACTGATGAGCAGAAGCTCATTTCTTTTAGAAAACATAAACGCCAGCATTTCAAGGGTCAAGGGACCCGAAGGTCGTGACTACCTGGTTGATGGGTATGGAGAAAATATTCCAGGTTATGGGGTGTCAGGATCCCCAGAGATTACTTTATTCGGTTTATATGCTTGTGGGGGATGCCCACGAGTGGTGGTACAATGCATCTCACCCTTTTACTATTCAGGGGGAAGAGATTACTTGGGCATTATTTGAAAGGCTATTTCATGAAGAGTATTTTCCCCGGGATGTTCGGGAAGCCAAGCAGGGTGAGTTTGAGAAATTGGTACAGGGTACCATGACGGTTGATGCCTATGTGGCGAAGTTTAATGAATTAGTGAAGTTTGCAAATTACGGTTGTATGTTGCCGACTCTTGAATTTCTATCTGCTAAATTTCAGAGAGGTCTGAATGAGACAAATTGCTAAGAGGATGTCTAATACTGCGGTGAGAAATTTTGCTGATTTAGTGACCCAGTGCAAAAGGGTTGAGACTGTTTATAGCAGGTATCCGAAGTCTAGTTCTTCGAGGACATCTGGTCCTCCTGGTAATAATAACAGAGGTGGCTACCATCAGAATAATAATAGAGGTAGGGGGTTGCAGGTAGGGTAGCTTCCGGGTCAATTCAAGAGGGGTGGTGGCCAGAGGAGTGGGTTTAATGACAGAAATTCTAATCCTCGCTGTGAGAAGTGTAAGAGGTTTCATAAGGGCCCTTGTATTGCGGCTCTGAATTCTTGCTTTAAATGTGGTAAGGTTGGGCATTTCGCCAAAGATTGTTACAGTAATACTGGGCAGGCTACGAATCTGCAGGCCTTGCCATCTGCCCCTACGGTTGGGCGTGTATATACTACAAAAGTGCAGCAAACAGAGAAGGCACCTAATCTAGTTAAAGGTACAATTTTTATCTCAAATATTGATTTGTCTATTTTATTTGATTCGGGAGCGATGCATTCGTTCATGGCTGAATATGTTGCAAAAGGATTGGGGTTAAGACTATCACAGATGATTCCCCCTATGCGTATTTCTACTGCTACAGAAGAGGTTAGTGATTCCTCCTTTATTTGTAAAGAGGTTGGGTTTGTCTACGAAGGCAGGGGTTACGCTATTGATTTAATTATCTTGCCCCTGGCCTCTGTTAATTTGATACTGGGCATGGATTGGTTGTCTCTAAACAGTGCAATGATTGATTGTTGCGGCAAGAGGTTGATTTTATCTCACGAAAAGCCCTTGGTTAGTCCGTCTCCTTTTCTGTCTATGTGCCAAGCTGTTAAAGCCTTGAAGGCTGGGGATTAGGGTTATATTTTCTTGGGTGGATTGATGGGAGATAAGGAGATTGAGCTTTCTACTATTCTGGTGGTTAATGAGTTTGTGGATGTATTCCCTGATGAGATACCGGAATTTCCTCCTGAGAGAGAGATTGAGTTCTCGATTGAATTGTTGCCTGGTGTGGGGCCTATTTCTTTGGCTCCATACTGGATGTCGCCGCTGGAGTTGGCTGAGTTGAAGAAACATATTGAGGAGCTGTCTGCAAAGGATTTTATCAGACCGGGTGTGTCTACGTGGGGAGCACCAGTAATATTTGTGAAAAAGAAGGATGGAAGCATGAGATTATGTACTGACTACCGGCATTTGAATAAGGTTACGGTTAAGAACAGGTACCCATTGCCGCGTATTGATGACTTGTTGGATCAGTTGAGAGGTGCCTGTGTATTTTCTAAGATTGATCTCTGGTCCGGATACCATCAGATTCGGATTAAGTCGGAGGATGTGCCTAAAACGGCATTTCGTTCTAGATACGGACACTACGAGTATCAGGTGATTCCATTTGGGCTTACTAATGCCCCGGTGGTGTTCATGGACTATATTGATCACATTTTTAAACCGTATTTGGATCAGTTTGTAATTGTGTTCATCGATGATATTTTGATCTATTCTAAAAGTGAGGAGGAGTATACTGAGCATCTGAGGACTGTGTTACAGATATTAAAGGATAAAAAGTTGTATGCGAAACCGTCGAAGTGTGAATTCTGGCTATCTGAGGTGCAATTTTTGGGTCATGTTATTTCTGCTAGGGGTGTTGCGGTGGATCCGAATAAGATTGATGTTGTTATTGACTGGGAATGACCAAAAACTGTTACTGAGATCTGGAGCTTTCTGGGTCTTGCTGGATATTATCGTAGATTTATAGAGGGGTTTCCCACAATGGTACTGTTGTTGACCCGATTGACACGAAAGGGTACTCCTTTTGTGTGGACCCAGGAATGTGAGAGATGTTTTCTGGACCTTAAAGAGAAATTGACTACTGCTCCTGTGTTGACCCTCCCCGATCCGGAAGGTGAGTTTGAATTATACTGTGGTGCTTCCAAGAAGGGTTTGGGGTGTGTGTTGATGCAAGAAAGGAGAGTGGTTGCTTATGCTTCTAGACAATTGAAGTCTCATGAAGAGAATTATCCGAGCACGATTTGGAGTTTGCTGCTATTGTATTTTCCTTGAAAATCTGGAGGCATTTTCTGTATGGGATGAAATTTGTTGTGTTCAGTGATCACAAAAGTTTGAAATATTTGTTTGATCAGAAAGAGCTAAATATGAGACAGCGGAGATGGGTGGAATTCTTGAAGGATTATGATTTTGAATTGAAATACCATCCGGGTAAAGCTAATGTGGTACCAGATGCATTGAGTAGGAAGTCTGTCAGCGTGTCCCAACTGATGTTGTGGGATAATGAAGTGATTGAACAATTCCGTGATTTGAAATTAACGGATGTCTTTATAGGTAGTATGGATGAATTTAGATGTTTACGGGTTGAAAATGGATTACATGAGAAAATTAAAGAAACGCATGTACGAAACGACAGTATCAAGTATTTGAAAGGGCAGAGTGAGATATCTTTGAATGAACAGGGGTTATTATTGTATCTGTAGAACCAACGCACTCTATGAAAAGAATATAAAGGTTCAACGATTTCGATGATAACAAACAAGCATGGAAAGAAAGCTTCAAGGTGCAACCATCAAAAAGAAGTCTAAACAAGATCAAGACTCAAGCTTCAAGAGAAGTCTCTAAGTCCAAACTCAGAGTAATATACTATAGGACTTAGGATTATTTGTAAATTGATTCCTTACAAGAATGAAGCTCAAAGTATTTGTTAAATACATGCATTAAATCATCAATTGACATTCAAATACATTCCTAGCATGAAAATACAATTTTCAATGGTCATAAAATGTTTAAACAATATTTGAAACTGACGTGAATCAAGAGAAAACCATTTTAGGGCGAAATCCAACCTATCAACAGGTTGGTAATCGATTACCCAACCATGGTAATCGATTACCCTTCATGGTAATTGATTACCCACTCAATGGTAATCGATTACCTACTGTACAAAAGACAAAAATAACGGCTATAAAACGGCTAGTTTGCGAAAATGAGTAGAAAAAAGGCCATGGGGGCCCTCTATAAATAGAGACTATTGTTCCTATTGATGGGACACACTTCTTGATCATTATTACTCATTAATTCTCATCCTATTTGCATTATTCTTGTCTTCTTGATCATAAATTCTATTTGTGCTTTATTCTTGTGAGAGTGTCATATACCATTGTTCTTCAACTTGTGTTATTTGTACTTTGAGAGTACTTAGCCATTATTAAACACCTTCCTTAATAACTTGAGTAGTTAGGGGAGTGAACCCTATACACTAGAGAGGTTACCATATTCCTAAGAAAATTTGGAGTGAAAAAGTGTAAGGCATCAGGAGCCCGAAGTCTTGAAAGGTTGTAGTGGTTTGTCAAGCACCCTCAAGGTTGATAGTTAGTGAAAAAAATTGATCGAGCGGCTTCAGTCTGGACGTAGGTCACGGTGGTGGTGACCGAACCAGGATACATCTAGTTTGCAATTTCTCTATCCTTAATCTCTTTATTTAAGTATTAAAATTGCATCTTAGATTGTCTTTATATATTCGCTTGCTTACTTTGTTGTTCACTTCACTTAGTTTTTTGACTTATTAAATCACTTCATTGAAGAAATAGTCTTTAATATACAAAAGGAGGTACTTTGCGAAAAGATTTTGTAAAACTCAATTCACCCCCCCTGAGTATTGAAGCAACTTGTACAACAAGTGGTATCAGAGCTTGAACTCTTGTGTAAAGAGCTTAACCGCTTCAAGAGAAGGGATGGCTTCTTTGAACCATGATATGCCCCTTGAGGGATCGTCTAGTACTAGACCTCCATTTTTCAATGGCGTCGATTATTCTTATTGGAAGAGTCGAATGAAAATATTTCCTCAATCTAATGATTTAAGAGTATGGAGTGTAGTTGAAAAAGGGTACACACCACCTACTATAAAAAATGCGAAAGATGAAGATGTTCCTAAAGATATAGATAATTATACCGAAGATGAAATTAAGAAAGGAAATTGGAATGCTAAAGCTCAAAACTTGATCACAAATGCCTTAGGTCGTGATGAGTACTTTCGTGTTTCAAATTGTAAGAATGCTAAGGAAATGTGGGATATTCTTCAAATAAACTATGAAGGAACTAGTGATGTTAAATTTACAAAATTAAATGCACTCACTAGAGAATTTGAAATGTTTGAGATTCATGAAAATGAAAGTATTCAAAGTATGCAAAAGAGATTCACACACCTTGTCACTCATCTAAATGCTTTAGATAAATCTTTTACTAACCTTGAGTTAATTGCTAACGTGATGAGAAGTGTGCACAAAAGGGAATGGCAACCCAAGTTGACGGCTATTACGGAATCAAAAGATTTGAAAACTATGGATCTTGCAACCTTGTTCGGCAAGCTCCAAGAGTATGAAATGGAGCTAACTAGAATAACCTTGAAGGAACAAGCCATCAAGAAAAGTAGGGGAATTGCCTTGAAAGCCTCAAAACCAAGCAAAGAAAAGGATGAGGAAAAAGAAGATGGAGATTCCGAAAATGGTCTTGATGAAGATGAGATGGGTCTCTTCATAAAGAAGTATGGAAAATTCTTTCAGAAGAACTTCTCAAAGAAATCCGCATTTCCTCCTAGAAGAAGATCTAAGGATGAAGGATCCTCACAACTCACCATCACTTGCTTTGAATGTGGAAAAACCGGTCACTACAAATCCGATTGTCCAAACATTCAAAAGAAAGACAAATATGAAAAGAAGCAAGGCAAGGATAGAAGGAACTTCAAGAAGGCTTATCTTGCTTGGGATGATGAATCTAGTTCTTCCGATGATGACTCCAAGGAAGAAGCAAACCTATGCTTCATGCAAGATGGAAGACCACCGGAGAAATCAAGCAAAGGAACTCAACATATATGTCTAATGGCAAATGAGGACAAAAATGAATCCGAAACCGAGGTAAACTCATCTTGCTCTACTATTTCCCCTTCATATGATGAATTGTCTGCCATGTTTGAAGAAATGCATAATGAAACCCTAAAACATGTTAAAACTCTTAGAGCATCAAGAAAAACTATTTGTTCCTTGGAAAAACAAATTGTGTCTTTAGAAAAAGAAGTGAAAGATTTAAAAGATGAAAATGAAACTCTCAAATTACTTGATGCTAGCACTAGTTGTATCAAATGCCTATCTTCAAATGATCATGCATCTTCATCATCATGTACTTCATGTAAAGATTTAAACAATGAAATTGATGATTTAAATGAAATTCTAAGCAAATTCACATGTGGAAGAGATAACTTAAATGTGTTGCTTGGTAAACAAAGATGCATGTTCAACAAATCCCGTTTAGGCTTTGACAGTAGCACACAAGAAAAATCATATAAAAACTTTTTCATTTCTCCATCCTACATGACAAGTAGCCCATTCATTAAATGTTTTCATTGTGGTGGAAAAGGTCATAGTGCATCCACATGTAAAGTTAGAAAGAATGGTATTATTGGGCAAAAGAAAGTGTGGGTTCCTAAGGGAACTAAGCCCAAGACTAACAACACATAAGGACCCAACAAGGTTTGAGTTCCAAAGCTTAAATCTTGACTTTGTGATGTAGGTTTGCTTAAAGGCTAAAAGCTCCAAATGGTACTTGGATAGTGGTTGCTCAAGTCACATGACGGGAGATGTAACTAAATTCCAATCATTCACAAAGAAAGAGCATGGACATGTTTCCTTTGGAGATAACAACAAAGGAAAGATTCTCGGTATTGGAAAAGTTGGTAATTCCTCATCCGTTTCTATAGAAAATGTTTTACTTGTTGAGGGCCTTAGACATAACTTGCTTAGCATTAGTCAATTATGTGATAAATATTATAAAATTATTTTTGA